GTGGTTCTTGATGGTGATAATGTGGATTGCAATTACTGCAATGGCAATGACATACGTAGTGGCTATAACTGCTTATACACCTGAGCATGAATCTGCGGCACTGATTCGGGTAATAGCAATTGCCGTGTTAATTTGGGTCGGGCTGATGGTGATACTTCTTCTTGGGCATACCATTCGACTGATCATTTGGCTAATAAGATATATTTGTAAAATAATAAGAAATATTTGTAAAAAACTATGTGGAAGGCGTCCTTCAAGTACTCAAATGGTATGAGATAAAAACCATAAATAGAATAAGGTATATATGATATGTATGATGTAATGTCCCAATTAGTACATGGTCTGGAATGTTAAACTTCTTTCTTACTTTGTAAACATAAGTTTTGTTGGTTATTAATTATTACTGCTTTGTATATTATTAAGGACTCGTTAATTAATAAGCAATCGGTTTGTAACTTAGTACTTTTTTTAATAACAGTTTATTTAAAAATATAAATTTATCATAAAATAATCAAATTGATTATTTTAATTAATATTTTATATATTTTTTAGAATTAAAAAAGAAAAAAACACAAAACAAAAAGACACCTACATCAACAGCATAACGAAGCCTAAGTTTCAAAACCACTACTGATGTGATAAAATCACTCTAATAAGTATATTAGTCGCTTTAAGTAATACAATAATGAGAAAACTATCAAATCTATCAAGATTGTGATTGACTAAGTACCAAAAATAATTAATCTAAATTTATTTGAACAAGTGAAAAGGAAGAAACTTCAATTAACATAATAAAAAGAAAATAACAATTAAAATAAAACTAACACATATATGAGGCACTAAGGCATTAACTTCATTATAACCAATTAACATGGATTTTAAATTATTATACTTTCAAGATGTTACTACTTATATGATAGTGAGATTTTCTATCTTATTTGATATACTTTCTCAATTTATTCCAAACCTATCTTCACCTATTAACCGACTATATTTATATGTTAATTTAAATAAATAAAGATACATTATATTTTATGAAATTTCTTAATTTATGTAGAAAATTAAGTCTACTTATTACTAATACTGCACGAATTACATTGGTCTATCTCTAACTTTTGTTCAATTCATAATATATATATTATTGGAAGTTATTGCATAAAATCTCCTCTCGATCTTAATTGTGCTCTTTATATCAATTTTAATGCTGATTAAGCATTAAGAAGCATTAAGAACAATAATATATACTTATCATGAAATAACAATTTCAAAGATATAAAAATCATAAAAACCTATGTTGAATTAATTAGGTTACATCATAGCTCTAATTGGCTAAATTAGTTCATAATAAAAATAATAAAACTCGAAATCATAGTTATGAATATAAAAATATCAAACAATACATAAAAATAATTTAAGGAAAATAAAACCTAATTTAAGGAAATTGAAATTCTTGATCTTTTATTATTGATAAATCTTTTATCTTAATCTCTAAGATTACCAAAAGAGGGCTGCCACCAACCTCCAAAGCTCCCCTTAATTCTAAATTTAGATGAGTATTTATAAGATTTTAGAAAATCAAATTAAAATAAAAGTGAGATCCCTATAAAATGTTAAAAACCTATTGACACCCTAAAGAAAGTGGTGACATCTTCACCGTATCTGCCAAGAAGAGTCCACTACAGGATTTTGGCCTTTAAAGAAATTTTAGTTAATGGTAAAATGACAATCCTAATCCCTAACTTCTAAATTCTATGCAACTTAATCCTCAGCTTCTGATATTTGCAATTTGGTGTTAAAAGTTATGATTTCTTCCAAATAACTCATTTCCTACACAAAATAATGAAAATTATATAAAATCAAGTAAAATCTTATAAAACTCATCCAAATATCAATAATAATAAAGCAAAAATTCTACATTAATATGTATATGAATTCAATTCATCAACTACCAACATGTAATAGATATTGAATTATGTTGGAGGGCAGTTGTTGTTGTTACATGAAATAGCTTGGGTGAAAAACGGCATAACATGGCTACAATGAAGACAAATTTTGATAAGAATACCTGCAAAACTTGAGGTTGGATCTTGGGATAGACACTCTGATGCTCAGGTCAGTACCTAAGGGGTTTGAGTAAAGGTGGGCTGGTATGCTACAAAAGCTAAAGGTGTAATAAATCTACTTGAGATATGGTGGTTGGGGGAGTATTCATAGTCCTCCTAGGTTGCTTTCCATGTGGCAAATTCCTTTTATGTCAACCTTGTAGCACTATAATGTACTATAGCTCCATGGAGGTCAATGGATGTGCATTAAATCTTGTGTCAAAGCATTTAAGATAAGGTCAGTCATGATATCATCTATCAGAAATAAAGGTGGTAAAGAGAGGTGAAGTTATTTCGATCAGCTATTCATCCTTAAGTTGGACGTTCAACCATTCACCTAGTAGTGATGTTCGAATTGGTCCCTCACACTATCCTTCCTCTAGGAGTGCTTTGGCACGTAATCATTCATTTTATCTTATTATGACTAGTGGCTCCATCAA